CACTGATAGCAGGGGCCTCAGGTGACGTCAGGACAGCAAATTTCCAAGAAACCATTCTGCTCGGTTTCATTTTCCCTGAATTCTTGGCACATCTCGGCGTTTACCCTTGGTGTGCCTGGCTCTGCCGGTGGTGTATCTCCTCTGCAGGAGGTGGTCGGGCAGCGGGGCAGTGGCTCGCCTGTCCCCGGGGGTCGGACCCCAGGACTGCTCCCCACAGGGACCCCTCTCCCCCCCGACCCCCTCGTGGGGACGTGGGGACAGGAGGTGCCGGGGCTGCCGCAGGGAGGATGCGCCGGGCAGGGGGGAGGCTCCTCACGCCTGTTCTGTGGCGGCTGGGGCTTCATGGGCATTTCCCAACGGTTCAGGACCGGTGAAGCTCCGTGGTTTTTGACAAGGACTACGGGCAGCGTGGGTGGTCTGGGCAGCGCAGAGATTTCCACCGGCTGGGGGGGGAGGGGCAGCCCCTCCGGCTGCCTCCCCTCCACCGGGCATCCTCAAAAAACGGCCAAAGCCCCATTTTGCAAGCCCCCTTTCCCCTGCTCCCTGCACCCTCTCCTCACCCTGAGCCCTCTCGGGGCAGGACGCAGCCAGCCCACCCGGCGGCAGCCCCCCCGGGCCGGGGTGGCGAGGACACAGCAGGTGCCGTAGCGCATGCGCCGCTGCAGCTGGTTGAAGGGGACCAAATCCAGTTGCAAGTTGATCTGGTTCCTTTTTACCAGCCCCAGGGACGCACCGTCTCTCCGGAGGCGCTGTCTGGGCTGGTGTGGGCATGGGCGTCCTGGTGCGGGGGTCCCAGCCCAAAAATACATACTTCTTAACATTCCATAACGCCAGCCGACTCCATATGGGCATATGAAGAAGTATGTAGGGTTGGGAGGGAGAGGTGGGCAGCATGGGGCTGGGCACGCAGTGGCCGCGGTGAAGCCTGCGGCCGGGCAGGGGCTGTGGGGAGCACCTCCTGCCTATCCCCGGATCTGGCCTCTGCCTGCGCCCGGCCCTGGGTGCATCCCCAGCCGTGACACTGCCCGTACAGTGCCGTAGTGCCCACAGCCATGACAGAGCAAGGGTACCCACGTGTTTGGAGAGCGAGACAGTGCCGCGGCCAATGCATGTGCCTGGGACGCCGAGTCTCTGCACCAGCTGGAGGGCGTCCAGGCTGGCGATGCACCCGCCGCCTGGTATTTTGGCCAGTGGCTGCCCTTTGTGGGCAATGGGACGCCCTGGGATGTGGCCGAGGCTCAGCAGTTTGGGCCATGGGCCACTGTGGGGGGCTGCACCTCTGAGGTGATGGGGCCATGGCCAAGTGCCGTGTCCCATGAGCCCGCACGGGCCAGCACGGAAGGCGGCAGTGGGTGCCTGCACTTGGAGCTGCTTCTGCATGGGCGGTCCCCCATTGGCCCTGGCTCTTGGCAGGGGTCCCCACTGCTGCTGCTGCGCTGGGTCAGGATGCATCAGCTACACCCCCCCGGCACCCTGCACTGCCCCAGCACCCTGCAGCACCCCAGCACACCCCCAG